CCCAGGTTAGTCCTGGTGCTGTTGTGCTGCTCCTGCAAGTGATAATCCTGTTTTTATCCCGTGTTCCCCTCACAGGAGCCATACAGGATGCTGCACTCCCAGTGACTAACAAATTAATTGGGTTTAAGATGTGTAAAATTTAAAAACTGCTGTGGGAGGAAAGAACAGGAACCTTTTCCCTAAAATAATACCCCGAGTGCCCATTTGCTGGGTGTGCTGTGTGTTCATGCATTTCTTCTCCTCACAGGGTGGTGGGTGTGCAGAAATGAGACCTTCCTGTTCTCTTCTTTGCATCTTGTTAATGCTCTGAGCCTCTTCTGTAACAGCAGCACCTCTGGTTCTTGCACCACTTTTGCTGGGGAGCCTCCGAGCTCCTCTCCCACCCTCAGACCCACACAGGGCCACTCCACACTCCCCCTCGGGATGCAGCAGCATTTTCCCTCCACCCTGTTAGAAAACCAGCTTCGAATTCCACTGGTGGTTTGCAAATCCCAGCTGAGACCCACGGGCTGGAGGGAGCAGTGTCTGTTTTTGTGAGGTCCCAGCTCCCTGGGGGGAGGAGGTGGGAGCAGGAGAGGTGCTGACCCTGTGCCAGGGTTCCAAAAACACGCTCAAGGAATGTGACTGGCCATGGGATTGTGGATCCATCCGCTGCTGTTTAATGAGCTCCCCCTGGGAGCAGCACCAAGACCCTGTTTGGGAGCTGTGTGGGGCAGGGGCCTCCATCTCCCACCCCGGGCAGCAGGGAAGGACAAGGCACCACTGCACCGAAAACACAGCCCCACTTCGGCTCCAAAAACATTCTGGCACAACTCACTGACTTGGATTTTATCTGCAAACGTTTTCAGCCCCATACCACTGGGAATCCTGATTTTTTCCGAGACTTACCAACAGGAAATCCCGGGGCTGGAGGGCTCAGCTGTAATGAACTTATTGTGTACTCAAGCACTGAACGTCGATTTGGATTACAATGTCAGAAATAAGCACTGAGAGAAGGTAACTGTCCCCTGGGGTCACCTGTCAGGAACTCCCTGAGACTGCCCAGATACGGACCTGAGTTATATTTGTCCCTGTGCAAATGTAACAGCTAAGACTGAACAAACCTACTGTGCCTTGGAGACGAGCCCCCTCATCCTCTCCCAGAGCCTTTTCCCACTTTTCACAGGGATTCCTTGGCTGGGGATGCTCCATCAGAGGCTGCCCAAAGAGCTCTGGAGCAGTCAGGGGCGTTGGGAGCCTAAATCCCCGTTAGTGCACATCCAAACCAGGGCCACTTGGGTCAATCTGGGAGCCCAGAGCCCCAGGCACAGCCGGGATTCCCACCCTCCCAGGCACACACAGGTGAAGACAAGATCTTGCTCCCTGGGCTGAAGGCACCCAGGAATTAATCTGGAGCGTGGGATGCCAGGGGAGAGGAGCACAGGGGCAAGAGGGACAACACACACCTTGCTCTGCAGGCACGTGGCTCATCCACCCTCTGCTCTCCACAGCCTGGCTGCAGACAGGAGCAGGGAGGCTGCACTGGAAAGCTGGAGACCTCCATCCGTTTCTCACGCCCCACCCTGAGCACTCTGATAAAAATGTGCAGCAGGAACGTGGCTGAATGTGCTTGAACTCCACTGGGAACTGAGTGAGAAGATCCTGCAGCATCATGAACAAGGGTCTTTAGCTCCAAGTTAATGCTCTGAACACTCACAGAACCATTAAGGCTGGAAAAGCCCTCCAGGACCATCAATTCCAATCACTCCCCAGCCAAGGCCACCACTCACCCATGTCCCCCAGTGCCACATCCACAGGGCTGTTAAACCCCTCCAGGGATGGGGACTCTCCCACTGCCCTGGGCAACTGTGCCAGGGCTGGACAACCCTTCTGGGGAAGGTTTATCTAGATCAGATCCACTCTCTGCAGCAGCATCTCCAGCTACATTTCAAGGCAAATAACTTCCATCTTATTCTTTCCATTCCTTACTCTTCCCTTTCATGCAGCTGCATTTCAGTCACGCTGTTCAACATTGCAAAATAGCTTAAAGTGAAATTTCTGCCTCCTGTATCTTCCCACTCCAGCTCCAGGGCTGTACAGATGATGCCTTGGCTTTTTACTCTCTGCTGACAGACAGATGGGGTGGGAGAAATTAAAAAAAAAAACACCAAAAAACCCCTGCTGTGGGTTTGATGACCAATAAGCCAAGGAGTTCTGGGCGCTGGGAAGGACACTGTGGTTGAAAGCAGGAACACAAAGGAGCCATTAAGGAAGACACACAAGTTGAGAGATACTAATCAGTTTTATTTTATAAATACAGATGAGCTTTCCCGCGATTACCAACATGGTTTTAATGTGTCATTTACTCTGGGATATTCTGGTCTTGCTTATTTGAAATACCTGGTCAAGCAAGGATAAGCCAATGCTGTTGTGCTTGCTATAAAAATATAGTGGGATCTGATCTTCCAAAACTAATATTCTCAAAAATCTCAGGAATTCCTAAGCGAGGGGAAAAGACTGCAATGAAATCTTTCTCCACTTGAAGACATTTGCAGACATTTAACAGTGTCACAGCTGTGCAGGAACTGAAAGGCTTTTGACAGTTGAAAGCACACTGTGATCTATCATCTCACCTCCAAACCTACTGTTGGTTTCTCTCCCACTGCGCCGTTTGCAAAGTAATTTACGGGGGGCTGGGAAAAAAATAAACACACAAAAAAGGACAGCTAGGAGGTGGCTGCAGCCTGTCCAACCCCCCCAGGAGCTGGGCAGCGTGGAATCAGCCCTGGGACGCTGTCCCTCCTCACACCACCTGCCACATGGGAAGTGGTACAAGAGGAAGAGAAACCCAGGGGTAACTGGAGGCCTCCTGAAGGTACGTCCATGGGAAGCCCACGTGACAGATGCAGAAATCAACCCTCGTGTCAGACACATTAACCATCACAGGGCTCAAGCAGGAACAGCAACACAACACTGGGGAGCACAACTAGACTTCATTTGGTTTGTGCAACCCGAGAAAACGAGCGACTCACGAAAAGAGCAATGCTGCCAAGCCCCACTGCTGCCCTGCACACCCCATCCCACACGGGGCCCAACGACACCGAGACCCCCACGGCCGCCTACGGCCTCACCACGGCTCTCTGGGCTGCTCTGAGGAGTCACCACCACACACAGGTCACGCCTTTCTGTCACACAGGAACACCAGGGCGCCCACAAACAGGTCTGGGCTGCCTCCAGAGAGCCAGATCCCCTCCCACAGCTGAGCCCAGGTACGGAACTTCCCCTGCAGGAGATGGGGAGACACAGGCACAGGGCAGAGGATCTCTGCTCAGCACTACTCAGTGCTGTGCTTCAGGGTGTTCATGTCTCCAGCCAAAGCACAGCAGGAGTTTCCTATCTACCCCTTCCCAAAGATGATGGTAGCACTTCCTCTGGGGAAGCTTTCATGAGGTTGGAATAGGGGAGCTAATTCGGGGGAGAAGATACTCCTGGATGCGTCCAGCTTTGCACCTGAAATCACGTTCAGTGTCTCAAATAATCAAGTTCTCCGAGTGCTCCCATCCAGCACCTCATCCTGGGACAGACCAAAGCCAACAAATGGCTGCAGAGAGGCTCGATCCACCCCCCAACTGCAGACAGAGCTAACAGGGGAGATGTGACCATCATTCAATACAATCACTGAGGTGTCAGCTGGAAACAATGCTTATCCTAGGACAGTGTTGTTATGGATATTGGTTCTCACATAGACGTCTTGTTCTGACAACAGAGAGCTGAGATTATACAATTCCACATCTGAACAAGGGAATTTAGGCTGGTCTTATGTGAAGGCAGGGAAAGACTAGGTCGTGGTTCAAAAGAAAGCATAAAACCAGGGAAGAACAGAAAGCCAGGCATGATGAAGTGTTTTTTATTCTGCTATATATTTTTATATTTCAGAGCTCACAGGTGAGCCCAGATCCTCGGGTACACAATATAGAAGGCAAGAGCAATGAAATCCAAACGGAAACAAACACCAGGAATGGCAGAGCAGCTGCAAATTGCTTTCCCATTAGTGCAGCTGAACACGTGTGGCAGTGCTGACCTGCACCTCCAGCAAAGCCCTGGAAGCTTCTTCCTTCCAAGTACAGATGGTTAAAGAAAGGATATTAATTCAGATGAATAATGCAAAGTGCCTCCTTCCTGCAGAGGGTGGAACAATTCCACACGTTTGCCTAATTCCAAAGCACTGACTGCACTCTCAGGGATTTTAGGGAGGTGTCTGCAGTGCCCCTGTGTCCCCAGCAGACCCCTGGGAGGGCGGCAGCTGAACCCTCTGGGTTGGCAGTGGGTCCATCAGGTCTCTACTTGTGCCCAACCCCAGTGGGGAAGGGTCAGGCTGAGATCACTGGACAGAACCCTGGAGGTGATTTACCCCTCGAGGTTTCCATGGGAAGGAAGAGCGAGTATGGAGGAGAGGAGGAGTGGGACAAACCCCCAGATGTCACTTCTGATTAACCAGGTGCAGGTACCACACAGGTGCTCATTCTCTGGCATGTCCTCACTGCCAACTGAAGACCCATCAGTGCAAACTAGAACTTTGCAGGCTCCAGAGCCCAGCCAAGAGAAATCTGCTCAACTGGAACGAATCCATGGTATTTCTCTAACACTGGCTACATTGCTCAGGCACACGCAGGAGTGCCTGGGAGAAGGCAAAGATGTCTTACCATAAATGTACTTTTAAATTAAAGGTTCTTTTTTTTTTTCCTCTTCTGAAAAGATTAAAATAAATTTAACTCTAAAGAATAATTAAGAAATCAACAAATATTCATAGAAGGGCCTGATCAGCGCTAGAAGTCGTTTTCAGGAAAGCCTTTATAAATGGATTTCAAGGCCTAAAAAAAAAAAAAAAAAAAAAAAAAAGAATTCCAACAGATTATAAATACCAGACATAAAAGGACTGGAAGCAGAATAAACCTTTACCTGGGGCTGTGCACATACCATGATCCTGCGTCACCGTGCTCGAGTCCACTTGTCTAACACCGTAGGAACAGCTTTAGCTTTTTTATTTTTATAATTAATATAAAGAATAAGTGCAATTTGATTTCCCCCCGGAGCACTGATTCCCCCCCGCCCCGGCTCACTTGTCCGAGCTCTTGCGGGCCCTGCGGAAGCTGGACATGTTCTCGTTCAGGGCGTAGATCCTGCGCGAGAACTCCTCGAACTCCCCCAGCACCTGCTCGTCGCACTCCACGGCCACGGCGTGTTCCACCGGGATGGAGTTGAAGTCCTCCAGCTGGTCCCCCGGGCCCAGGGCCGTGGCCTCCATGCCCATGATCTCCTCGGCCCGCTCCACGGCGCAGCAGAGCGCGGGGCCGGGCGGGGGCGGCTCCTGGGCCCCCGGCCCCACCGCCCCGTTCATTGCACTGCACCCGCCCGGCGAGGGGTCCCGCCGGCCCCGCGGAGGGGGCAGCAGGGCCCCGCTCTCCCCGTTGAAGCCGCCGCACAAGTCCTCGCCTTTCCCGGCGTCGCCCTTGGAGGAGTCCAGGGAGGTGTCCAGGGAAGAGCTGATGGGCCCGGGCGCTTTCTGCGGCTCCCCCGCGGGGACGGGCTGGGTTAAAGCGGAGTTGTAGCTGGGAGGAGGAGTTTTGTACTGCAGTCTCTCGTTGCCGGTGCTCGTGGCCCGTTTGCGGGGTGCCTTGTCCGGGGAAGGAAGCCCACTGGAGAAGCCGATGTGCAACCTGCCGAAGCTGGAGCTCTGTCTCTTTGGGACGGGGATGGCGCTGGACGTGTGGTGCCGGTCGCTGCAAGGGAAGGGACAAATCACGGCTGTGGGGCAGCTCCCCAGCAAGGCAGATGTTTAACCAAAGGCTGCAGCAGTTCTTTCAGCACAACCCCGGGCTCTGCTTGGCCAAGGACTCGTATCCTAAAGTGCTAAACACCCCACCCCCCCCCCCGTGTTTAGTGCCGTGAGAACCACAGAAGGCGCCCCAGAGGACGACTTCCCTGAGCAGGAACTCTGACAGAGCCCCACGGTTTGGAGAGTCAATCACCCAAGAAACCACCACATTATGTTAATTCGCACTGTTAACACCGTTTTATAGGCCCGAGCTGCGCTTTATGAATTATTGCTGTTGACTGTGTATTTATGGATTTATGGCCTGTACTGGGCCGTCATAAACTCCTCAAAAGTGAGGAATTATGGCTGAATCCTCCACGAGCGAAGAATTCAACAGTGGACTTCCCTAACAGCTGCTCAAAGGAGGAAAACCACACCAACGTCACTGTTTGCAGAGGGTTATTCTTGCCAGACCTCCTGCTTTTCTGTGTCAATCATTCCAAAACTTTTGGGCAATCATCAGCCTCTGTTTCTCAAGGAACACGAACCAATCAAGCTTAATTTAATTTCTGACTTCACTATTTAATTCGGTTCCACAAACCACTTTCACTGTCTCAGGTTCTGTAATTTGGAACATCCCCTTTGCACCATCTGGGCTGTGTTATGTGAATTTTCCTTCACTGGTTTAATCCTTACCCAAATATAACCACCACCCTATATGCAAATACATAATGTGTGCATTAACATAAGCAACCAGTTCATTTTCCTCCAAATTAAAAAAATAATAACAAAAATACAGCTATTCACAGAGTTATACACATAACTCTGAGATTCAGCTGCTGTCAGGATGAGCCTCCTTCATGAACTCCATTTAAGAGAAACTCCTGCTCAAGGCCTGATACATTTTGGGATCTGCCTTGCAGGGGAAAATCTTGGAATAGCAGTTATGAGGAGTCCCCAGTGGGGATCCTTTTCCACAGGACTTTTCTTGTTTTGCTGCCCCTTGTAAATAGGAGAAAGTTGATTGCAACGAGTCCCTGTGTGAAGAGTGAGTGTCCCCACGGCAGGGCAGTGAGCAGCACTGCTGCTCTTCCATTTCCTCTCCCACCACACCTCCTCCCAGGCTGCCCCTTAATTCCTCTGTAGGGCTTCCTTCTCTTCCATAAAACCCTCAAATCACCTGAAGGAGAGGTTGGTTTTCGGGATACACATTTGCAGAAGTGAAGAAGAGAGGTAAGGGCCACACATGGAGGCAGCAGCAAAACCACCAACGTTTCCTTAAGATTCCAACAGCTGCTTCAGACCTTTTGAATGCAAACTCCACAAAGCATTTGCAGCTTTTTCTGTCAACCAACCCCTTCACAATCAACCATTTATTTTTAAAGTGATGTAATGTGACAAACCCAAGGATCTGAGGCAGCAGGCTCGTGAACTGTACTCAGGCAATGTGCACTGCAGATATACTGGGGATGGTCTGCTGGCCCTCCCTTCCCCCAGCTCAGAGCCTTCTGCCCTTGCTCAGAAAATAAATGAATACTCTGCATTACTTATTTGATGAGATTCTGTTTATCTTACAGTTAGATGGCAAGTTGTAGGAATTTACCCAAATTCCAAGATGTGCAAATATTCACAAAGCCAGATATCACTCAAGAACACTTCACTGGTTCCAGGGACACATCATCCTGCATTTCTGTGAACTGATTCCTCAGGACAAGTGACAACTGAGTCCTGCTGATCACTGCTCCAATTACAGGACACTCTGCAATGAAGCAGAGGGTGCTTTTCAGGGCAGGAGATCTCAGGGTTTGCTGCCTCCCCAATTCCAGATGCTTGCCTTGGACACTTCCAGGGATGGGGCAGCTACAGCTTCTCTGGGCAACCTGTGCCAGGGCCTCCCCACCCTCACAGGGAAGGATTCCTCCCCAGCATCCAATCTAAACCTACTGTCTGGCAGTTTAAAGCCATTCCCCCTTGCCCTCTGAGCTTCACAGCTCATGGAAGTAGTACAAAAACTATGTCAAAAAGGAAGTCACATTAGAAAGCAATCCTCCAACTGCTCAGGAAGTTTAGAGACCGTCAGGTTCTGTCTCCAGTGAGGAGGGCTTGGCTTGCAGAAGCACAGCCCTTTACTCCAAGGTACAGCCTTGACCTGAATTACTGGGGTTGAGCTGCTCCAGCTTCCAGCCCCAATTCCCTGGCCCATCTCCTGAGGCAGCAAACAGGTGTGGATGCCTGTCCACAAAGAACAGCCTGTGACTGGAGGAGTATAAAACCTGAGCTGATGAACTGTCATCAGGCCCTAAAGACTTTCAGTCATCAGGCTGGATGAGACTGGAGCTGGTTACATATATGTGCAGTTCCTCTCAGAAAGCAGGACTTCTAAATTAAAAATAAAAAAAGAGAGAGGAAAACCTCAGGTTTATTGGACATTGTAGATAAGAGAATGACATCATCCCCAATCTCAGCCTTTCAATTGCATCCAAACCTCAAAAGCCAATTTGTAGCAGTCTAACTTCAGCTGTAAGTCGCCCTGGCAGCAAAATTACAAAGTAGCTATTTTCTGCCCCAAATGTTGGTTTGCACTAGTTAATAAATAGTCCATTTGGGCATTCTGAGGCACAAGGCACAGCCTGCCCGCTGTAAACAGGCGGGAGAAAGTGACTGAAGCAGGACACAAACATTTCTGAAGTTATTTTCTTAGTGAACACTTTCTGGTTGTTTGCAGCTCTGATAAAAAGCTCCTTCAGTCAGATTCACTTGTGATTATTTAATCTGTCTGCAAGGGGCTCGGAGAAGCTGTAAAGCAGTATGAGGGACAGGACACAATTCACAGGCTCAAATATGTATCTTTTCCTCCCCACAAAATGTTCCCTCTGAGGAACATTACTGGATCACAGCTGGTTAAAATACTAAATCTTGATTGCCTGGCCAAGAGCCAAAATCCACAGCTACAGCGCTTCGGTATGAGAATGCTTTTAAAAAAAAAACCCAACAACTTAAACACCATTTGATCTTTTCTGTTGCAAACTATGACCTCATGGCAGCCAGAACGCTAAATGAAGGTGTTTTGGTTGGTTTACAGCCATCCATGAAATGTTTGAAGCTCCAAGAGCAGCTCAGAGCCAACGCCATGTCAACCGTGCTAAAAAGCAATAATAGTTTCTCACCTTCTTAGAGATTCCTGGATCAATAAGGTACAACAGCCACGGGGAGGCTGCCAATGTGAAGCTGAGGTGAAACTGCATCTTTTGGCAGCTGAGAATTTCTAAGGCACGTTAAAAAAATAAAAAATCAAATCTTCATAAATTAAGCTACCAGAGATTTTCTTAACTCCGAAGTTCAGGGCTCCTCTCGGTCCTAGCAGCACATGAATCAAGATGATGCACCTTCAAAACACAAATTCAAGCCTTGGCACACAAGTATTTTTGAGGGAAGCCTTTAAATGCGACTCAAAAGGGCATCTCCCTGACTACAGACAAACCCTTCCAAAGGAGTATCTTGTATTTGCCAGCATCAGACAAGTCTGTTGTCTGTTCACCAGGAAAAAACCTCCTCCCTGGACTGCTCAAGTTTGCAGAGAGCTCTTTACTTGCTGTTAACAATCACACTGTCCCTCAGAAGTTACACAGAGTGAAACAAAAATAAGCTGAAGAACAGGAGAGAAAATGAGTCAGTCTCTTGATTTGATGCAACCATGATCTAAAGAGCCTGAGCCTGTGAAAGCTACACCTGAATAAAATAATGTTAAAAACATCCAGGAGATTTGAAAGGGGCTTCTAAAAAAAGAGGGAGAGCAACTTTTTAAGCAGGCAGAGAGTGATGGGACAAGGGGGGACAGTTCTAAACTAAAAGAGGGCAGACCTAGATTATACATTAAGAAGAAATCCTTCCCTGCGAGGGTGGGGAGGCCCTGGCACAGGTTGCCCAGAGAAGCTGTGGCTGCCCCTGGATCCCTGGAAGTGTCCAAGGCCAGGCTGGATGGGGCTTGGAGCAGCCTGGGACAGTGGAAGGCAGGGGATTGGAACTGGATGATCTTTAAGGTTTCTTTAACCTTTCTGTGTTTTGGTCTCAAAAGCTGGAATAAACTGCACGCTCAGAAGAATTTGAGAGAGAAACTGCACAGGGCCTTTTGCATCTGCAAAAAGCTAATCTGAAAACTGAGCTGCTTTTCTGGAAGCCAGTGAAACCCCAGGACTAAAAAACTGGACACGGGGAATTATTCCCAAAAGGAAACAGAAAAGATTCAGGGCACCACAACCGAGACAGTTTAAATCAACAACAACTTTGGCTCATCATCTTTCACCTTCGGATTCAACATCCAGATCTGATGTCAGGAAGGTCCGTTTCTGCAGCTCTGTAGCCCCTGTAACAGTGTGAGGGAACCAACAGATCTGTCTTGATTTTGTCTCCATCCAGCACAAATCATATTTTGCAGTAGGGGTAAGGGGGGGGAAAGTAAACACAGTGGGATATTGGTGCCAGGAGAGACATGAAGAGGGAAGCAGAGCTTGTAGACCTGCAAGCTTGCTGCCATAAATCACACGGGGAGGGACGTGAAAACACGGATTAATCATTGCAGTGTCATGCCTGAGGAACCAAAGCAGCACAGATCTCCCCAGGCAGAGGGATCCAGCCAGCAAACCTTCCTGCACAGGCACTGGGCTCTCAGCCCTCCCACAGGGCCAGCGCTGCCCCAGAGACTTGACAGCCAAATCTGCTCTGATGCACGAAATAGGGGGGCTCTTCTACAAAAGCTGTGCAGGGTTGTGTTGGTTTGTTTTTAAATCTGAAGAGGTAAAGAAACTATTATGTACTTTAAATCTAAACTGATGCTTATCAGAGCAAGGTTAAGCCCGAAATAACCGTGTATTTCAGTTACACTGAATATCTCAGGGGTTCAGTTCAGCCCAGGCTGCAGAGAAATGCAGATATCTCGAGCCAAAAGCAAAAGTGAGCTCGAAGCACGGCTTAGGAGTTAACACCAGTTCTGTTCAAGGAGAAACCCAGTCCAGTGTAAGTATTGGTTTTTACCAGCTCATGATGGTTTGACAGAACTGGAATTCAGCAAAGCCCAGCTCTGGTGCTCAGAAAGGGAACTGAGGAGCAGCAGGAAGACCAAACAAACCTGGCAGTGCAAGGGAACACGTAAATAAAAACCCTCCCGTGCCCCTGTTCTCATCCTGCAAACCGAGGATAGCCTGGAAATACTTCACTGACTCCAGTTTGTGGCACAGGGTATCAGATCATTCACCTGCAGCACCCTGAAAACACACAGTTCCTTCCAGTCTTCACTTTAACAGCTCGTGGCTTTGCTGCTTGTTCCAGCAGAGGTGATCAGGTGTTATCCACAGGACAGTGGGCACCTGTACTCTGCCCAATTATCAAAGTCTAGCCAGCTTTCCCCTCGAGCTGTAAAGCCTCATTTCCATCTAAATTACTAGGAAGCATTAAGGGCATTGTTTGGAATCCTTAGCCTTGAAAAAAAGAAAGGTTAAAAAGGAACAACTACTCACACTAGGTTTGGAGGTGAGAAGGAAATGAGGCATAGACATCCATGGGTGAGGGGAAGGAATGTGATACTCCCAGAGAACTAGGCTTAATATTCCTAAACGTTTGGAAGTATTATCCAGCAAAAAAACACATGCTTTGTGTTGCTAATGACTGTGCATCACCTACAGCAAACAACAAGAGGGTTGTGTGATGGCAAAACCTCTAAGACAGACTGCCCAGGCTAAGACAATAATACAGAGGGTGCCCCTGCTACCAACCATTAGATACAGCCCTAAGACACCAAGTAACTCCCCTCCCCCTAGTGAGGAACACTGCTTTTCACACAGGCCTCCCCTCCTACATCAACTTCTGAGAAGGGCTGTGGGCCCATCCTACAGGAGGTAAGAAAGCAGTGGAATATTGTGGCCATTTACATGGAGTGTATTTTGGGGAAGTCCCAGTCTCACCAGCTTGTGAAGAGGAGCTGCTTGTTTGTGACATATCCTTACCTCCAAATGTTTTTGCAGCATCCACCTCTTTATTTTAATTACAAAAAAAAACCCCACAAAAATATACTTACCATCTCACCATTAGCCCAATCTCCATGAAGTTTTTCAGGTTGGGAAGAGTTTGCCTTAGGTCTGGAGTACTCAGCCCATGCTGATACCTAAGCTGCAACAACAGAAAAAAACCCTAAAATCAGCACAGCTTTCCAAATCCCACAGAACATAACACCATGGTCAGTTAATTTACTAGGTTTTTAAGAAAGTGTGGGATGATTATCCAGCAGTTCCAAGAGATTTATTCCTCTTAAGGAAATGTTCCATTTAATACTTGTATTAGCAAAACCCACCCAAGAACAGGGACAAAACAATCAGTCAATCTGAGTGTGAAACCTCCTTCCCCTTTTTCCATTTTCTGTCTGTAACAGGAGCTTAATGAAAACACAGCCACCAGGGGAAAAGACCAAATTTCAGCACAACACTCTGTGTTCACTAATTCCAAACATTTATTTGTGTGCAAGGGTCACTTGTCAGTCTCAGTGTCTGCTGGAATCAGTAGTGGAATTGTTACAGTAACACCAACCAGTAAAAATACATATTGTCACACAACTGATGGAAATCTCTGCTCCTTATACAGTTTATATCAACATTTTAAATCCCATAATTAAACCCAGCATTCAAATCAGATGCCACGTAGCAAAGGGAAAGGTTTCAAACACTGACTGACTTTAACCCCAGTATTGACTCCTCCAAGTTGCTTTTCCCTCCAAATCTCAGATTATGACATCCACATGACAACTGTCACTGAAGGGAATTATAAACTACATGTTTAACAAGTCCCCTGATTAAAATACCTTTGAAGAAAACAGCACAGGAAAGGGAGAAAACCCCTCTTTCAAGTTTGAATCTCAAAACTTTGGGGAAACTTTGCAGAGAAATTTATCCCTCGTGTCGTTAAAATATAAACAAACATAACAATGTAACAACATAACTACAAATATAAAATATTTAATATAAACAAACTGTAACTATAAATCATAAATATAAACATAAAAGTATAAATATAAACAAGCAATTCGATACATTTATCCCTTGTGTGGTTAAAATATAAACAAAAAAAATCTCTAAATTCCAGTATCTTTCAGGCTATTGGGATGAAGCACTACCCATTTAATAAGGAGGTCTCAGCAGATGTTAACACCCTCTAGAAGTCCCAGCTGGCCTCCAATACACACACACAGCAACTGCACAAATCCCATGCTGCTTGAGCTACCTGCTGAAACACGGAGAAATCCCACTCCAAGATAAATTCCTTTAGAATTCCACACCTGTTTCCAGAATTCCTGACAGTAGGCTGCAGGCAAGCATCCTCTAAGCTTCCAAAATTTGACTCCTCCCTAACAATCAGTTTGTCCCAGAAAAAGACCCCTGAAATTGGGAATGCTTTTTCTGCTCATCTGAGTTTTAGAAAGAAAAGTTACTTTGGGAGAAAATCCCCCTCAGTCCTGCACTGTGCACCAGGAGGCCATTTATTCCAGGTTATTATTTCCACATGGACACAGCCAAGTCATGTGGTGGCTTGGACTCATTGCTGCTGCTACAATGACAGAGCCTGGACTGAGACAACCATACAACATAGATTACAAAACCATCACCACACTCTCCTGATGGGATTACAGTGGATTTGGTTTGCCAATGAACTCGCCTGGAGCAAAAGAAATAAAGAAGAAGGAGAAAAAAAAAAAACCACCAAAATCAAAACCTTTGCATTTGTTCCTCCTCCAACAACCAAAAGTTCACAGAATAACCATCTTTAAGTTCTAAGGTTTTAGAGCATGAAAGGATTGGATTAAGGGCTCTCTCTCTGTCCAACAGCCAAGATCAGAGGAATGCATGGGAGACTCAGATTAAAACATGAGCAAAGCCACTGTTTCTACTAAAACACATTTTCATATAGCTGACAGTAGAGTTGCATATTAAGTAAAGTGAAGGCATAAGTTCTGTGAAACCTCTAGAAAAAAACTCTGCTTGAGGGTTGTCAGTCCTCAGCAGTGAACCAGCTCCACTCTGAGCATCTCTGAACCACCACTCCAACCAAGCACCTTCCAAGGATTTACTTCATCAACAGGACTTTTGTACTTCATTAAACTCATGCCAGACACAGGAAAGCTTGCTGCCTTCCTACAGGCAACAATTCCACATTAAAACCTTCATTCATCCAATCCACCAGCACAGATCCCTCCTTTGTGAACTAATTAGAACCCAAACCTGCAAAGGTTCAGTTACTCTCCTATAAAGTCCATGAGAAGGACCAGAACTACTACAATTTTTTTTCAAGCGAGTTGGCTTGAAAAGAAACCACTTAGTTATCTTGCTATTTCTGGGTAATTGCAGATTGCCCCCAAGATCAGAATTAGGGGTTTTGCCACTCTGGGGCTGCCTTTTAAGAAAAACACCGATATCCTGCGTTTACGTGCAAAGAACAACAGCCGTTTCCTGCCCTGGTCCCTGGGACAGCTTTAATGGCTGGGGCTGTACAAGCACATACATTTACTTTCAGCCAGAAACCACAGAGTACCTGGACTGGAATATCTTTTTTTTTTTTTGGGGGGGGGGGGAATGCAGAATGACTCCAACTCTGAACTCATCTGTTGATCATTTCCCATATTGCTTCCCCAGCCGTGTCCCCCCTGCTCTGAGCCATGTGGAAGCAGTCTAAGAGCTCAGAATACATTATTAAAGTTCAAAAGAGCTGCCCCTTCACTACATGTTATGCATAATGTTGAAGCCTACGCCGAAATCTGCTGTATTTTTGGGCTTCCCCGTGTCTCTGCACTGGCCCTTGATGTTGCAGCACCATCTGTCCCCAGGCAGGAGGAGGACCCAACCCACTGCACCGTGCACAGCTCCTGCTCTGCTGAGGCAGTCAAGAGCAATTTGGAATGACTTTCGGCTAAACGAGGAGTTCCTCTTGATAGCATCGAGAATTTCAAAAGAACATCTGCTCCACAAATGTGAAAAAACCTACAAACAGAAATAGAAGCAAAAAAGTGTTCTTTCAACCGGCTTTGCAGAGCTGGTCACCAGCCAAGCATTTACAGGAAGGTTTTCAGAGGATGTCAAACGCTGGGACAGAAATGTGAAATGCAAGTTTTAATAAAATGACATAGTTAATTGTTTTACAAGATCCTGGATGACTTTTCAGAGGATGAAGGAGCACTGGCTGGGGTTCAGATGACTAAGCAGTGCAATAATGGAAACAGAAAGTGTTGTTACAACGCCTGTTGCTATACAAACAACCCCGGGGCTCCATGAAATAATGCCTGCTGCTATATAAACAGTTTGTGTGTTTGTACCATTAGGGGAAATTATAAACTCTTAGATTATTGAACGCTTCACCTGTTGCTTGCCTCTGTTTTCCTGGAGCTGGGGAGTTGTTCTAGCTCTGAACACCTACGTGGCTCTCCTGAAAACCCCTGAGCTGCAGCATCAGTGAAACACGGTGTGGTACAGAGCACCTCTTTGGAGAACATCAATCTAAACATCTAACATTAATTTTCATTTCTCATACTTAAAAAGACTGTCAGCAAACATCAAGCACAGTTTGGAAGTAAACACCACCAAGGGGGTTTTTAAGTTTTCTAAAGCTTCTTGGGGAAGCAGGAGGGGAAAAAAGCAACATAACAAGCACTGTGATTATAACAAGCCTTCAAGTCCTCAGTGTTGCTTTCAGAAGGAGCAAATCCAGGACTGCCCCAGCAGTGACAGCCCTCATCCAAGCAGCAGGAAGTGCTCAAATACAACAGCTATTTTAATGGAAATTATGACTTATCTTGATATGTCAACACCTGCCTCCTTCCCCCCAGACTTCCACCTGAAAAGCAGATGTTTACTTTGCAGTTCTTTCAGAGTACTAAACCAACAAGAAAAACAAGTTACTTCAACATCCTTGAAGACCCGTGTCCTTCATTAATCCACAGGGCACAGGTTGTAAAGTTCCCCAAGCTGACCCAGAGTGCCTAAACCTTCATTAAAACCACTGTAAAGGGCTCCACCACAGCTGGGATTTAGCCATGACAAATAAGGCACACAAACAGCACAGGAAGGAGACAACAACTGCACTTCATCCTTTACCTTCAAAGGCTGCTTACAGTCACACTGGTATTTTTAAAGCATTCTTAGTCTAACCTGGCCTGGTCTGTCCTGCATTCACAAGGTAGAGCTGATATCAGTAAGATACTTAGTAAGATACTGTCTGTGTGAAGCCATTCCCCCTTGTCCTGGCACTCCAGGCCCTCGTCCAAAGTCCCTCTTCAGTTCCACCTGAAAGGTGGGGAAATACATGCATGAAATCTAAGTACAAGAGGGATTCAGCACTGCCCAAGGAAACTGTATTCTCATCTGATAACAGAACTAATTCCCTTTTACCTTCTTTGGTTTGCCACAGAATTACATTAAGCAGCTTCTTCCCCTCACCTCCACCAAAACACCAAGTCTGGTCTTCCTTCAAAGCCAGCAGAAGCCTCGATGACAAACGCTCAACAACTTGTGACATTCTGCCAAACATTTATGAAGGGGTTTTCTTCTAACATTTAAAACTGAAATGGGATAATGGACAATATTTAACACTGGATTTTGGTTTCACGGCAATAGTGTTTATTGGAGATAGACCTCAAGAAAACAAGGAAATAGGAGTACGTGTTTGAGTACACGTGGAACACACTGGAGAACTAAACACTCAGATGAGCCAAAAGCTGTGTTTCCTCCAGGGTTCTCTCATGAAACCCTTGCTGAGAGGGAACTCAACACCCCTCCAGAGAGGTCTCACACATCAGCCTTCGTGCTTCCAGTCTGGTGTCCCAGGAAGGATATGGGGACCCAAAAGACAGGCTGGGAGAAACAGCCCCTCACAGAAGTGAACTATTCCTGTAAAACTTGGTGGTTATGGGGCTTGTTATAAAAACCAACGGATATGGGCCCCCATGCCCATAAAGGTGCCTCTCAGATGCCATGACTGTTTCATAAAAAAGGACATTAAAAAAGGCAATTTAGAAGACAGAGCAGTTACTGGCCTCGAAAAGCTTCCCCTGCTCCCCAGTGAAGCACTGAAATAACTAAAACCATGTTTTACTGCAGTCTTGCTGCATTTATAGCTTGATAAGATGAAAC